GACTTTGTCTATATTTATTTTTGTCTACATTCCTTTTATTATTTTGTTATTCTTACTGACTGAGCAACCAAGATAATCGAGTCGTTATTTCCGGAAGAGGCCGCGGTTACATGTTCTGTATAACATAAATCAAGAATTGAGCAGATTTGCACAAAAGCTCTTCGGGCATAAACTGACTGTTAATGTTTCGCAATTTAGATTAACTAATATGAAACGAAGTTCCAAGCTTATGATGCACTCCCTCCTGTGAAACCATTGTCTTTTGTTTCGTTAGAATTTCCTTGTCCTTGGCATGACCCATTGCACTTCTACCAGCTGCCGATATAGAAATTACAAAACAGTCCAAAGAAATATTCAACGAGGTATTAAAAACAGATAAAGCCAAGTGTATTAGGAAAGAATCAAGTTTCTGAAAAGCGTCCAAGGTAATTAGTCTTATTAAATTCTCAACCTCGGATAATGCAATTCTAGCTTTCTGATTAGTTCACTGGATCTCGGTTACCAGCCATTATACCTGCGTTTGACCTTATATGGAAATGATTGTAGCAAATTTCGCTTGGCATAAAAGAAATATTCAACAAGGTATTGAAAACAGATAAAGCCGAGTGTATTAGAAAAGAATCAAGTTTCTGTAAAGCGTCCAAGCTAATTGAGTCTTATTAAATTCTCAACCTCGGATAATGCAATTCTAGCTTTCTGATTGGTTCACTAGATCTCGGTTACCAGCCAGTGTAACTGCGTTTGACCTTATATGGAAATGAATGCAGCAAATGTCGCTCGGCATACAATTTTTCGCGGAAAGCCAAGTTTAGTCGACAAAAATAATGGATGAAAAAAGCAGATGCGGTGAGCTATCCACGGACCGGAAGAAATACAAGAAATTATGGACAAGGTCGTCCCAGAAACAACAAGAGAAGCCACAAAGTTCGGGATGAGATTATTTAACGGTGCGTATCCGTTCAAAGTTTCCCTTAAAAGTTGAAAAAATTTCAAATATGTCTGTTGAGATTTTACGCATTCGTGGAGGTTACGTAACAACAACAATATTTACCTTAACGTTACAGAATGGCGTGCTAGTCCTGGTGGCACCACATTTTCGAAACCAATAGAAGAAATGTCAAAAGAAGAACTGAATATTTGTTTGAAGTGTTTTTACACGTCTGCGAGGAAGAAAGATGGCACGTATAACAAAAGTTCATCCACGAAATCCATAAGAGCCGCCATTGATCGTTTCCATCGCTCGCCACCACAAAACAAACCGTTTTATTATCTCTGACCCGGCTTTTACTGAAGCAAATAAAGTTTTTGACGCTTTCGTGAAAGACCGAGGGAAAACGGGAAAAATAGCTGTCGTCGTCCAAAAAAAAGGCAATCTCGAAAGAGCAGGTGAAGAAACTATTTGTGAGCGGCGAACTCGGTCCGGCCGACAGCTTGAATCCGCTCAGTTACAGAGGACCGCTCGCATGGTCCTAACTCGGCCTCTTTTTAGGAAGGCGGGGACGTGAAAACCAGCGACAGCTGACACTGGCAATTCTTTCTCTACGAAAAACTCCACAAGGGGTTGAATGCTACGAACTGAACAGAAGTCAGCCTGGTTCCTTTCCGCCAAAAAAAATCACCAGGGCGGCCTCGCAGACGCTGAAGATAAATCGAATGCAAGATATTTTCCGTACCGGGATCTGAAAGATGTCCAGTAAATACGCTCAAGAACTACTTAGGCCATCTCAATCCAACGTCGGGTGCTCTGTTTCAGAGACCAAGAGATAGTCAAAGCAAGAAAGACGACAAAATCTGGTTTTGCACCGCAGCTTTTGGTACAACTACGCACGGCAATTTGGTGAAAGAGGTGACAAAGGGAGCAGGTGTAGAGCCACATCTCACAAACCACTGCCTCAGAGCTACATCTGTCACAGTGCTCTCCGACCATAATTGCGAGACGAGGCACATCAAGTCCATAACGGGACACAAGTCCGACCAGGCAGTTGAGTCCTACAACGAGCGGCCCTCAATGGAACAACAACAGTAGATGTCACTCGTTCTTAGTGATTTTATTGGAAATTCGTCTCCTAGTAATGCCACTTGGGTGCAGGGGAAAGAAAACGAAATCCAGTAGCAGTGCAGACCAGTCCCAGACGAATTTCCACATCAAAAACCAGGGAAAGCAGTTCTTGTCGAAAACAATTTTTCAACCAGTTCAAAATCCGTTTCACGGCATGGCGATCAGAGAAGCTTCCCCAGTATTTTCACAACTGTAGTGTAGATGTCCACAATTATTACTCTTCCCGATGAGTTTGAACTTGGAACACTTGAGAACACTGCAGTAAGGTTTTTACCCGTACAAAACAGTACCGAGAAGTTTGGATTAGTGTAGTTTCAGTTCAACTGTAATTTCAGTTCAGCTGTAATTTCCCTCGCTTTTGGTTTTTCATTCAACTGTTCGCACGACGGTGCGCCCATCATGTGATCGTGAGATCATGTGGTTTTGGCGCTCGGAAGTCACGTCACTTTCCGGTCGTTTGTTAAACTTAAACAAAATTTAACAAAACCAAAGGTTGGGAATTTACTAAAACAATTATTCCATTCGCGCCTGTTGGATATGAGATTGGTCGTAGGCAACTCGGCGTTTGCTATTTACCATCTCATATCCAACGCGCGCTCATAGAATAATTTTTGATTATCCCACACCCAATTTAAGTCATGTTCATAACGTCTTTATGACAATATAGAATAGAATAACTATTGCATTCAGCTTTAAATGATATCCCAAGATATCAGTTGGCCTCATGCAGATCAGGAGGGAGCTTCAGCAAAGACGACGGCGACCTCGAGGATAACGCCTAGTAAAAACTGAATATATACTTTATCATCGAATTTTGCAGTTCTGTAGATCTGTTCAGTGCACCTGACGGTATCAGAAATTGCTCAAGCTAAATATGCAAGGCCAGCGTTCAATTCCAAATGAAAATACAAAAAATTAGCTGTCGTCGTTCGCGTCAGCGAAAATCCGCAGAACTTATCTTTTGACGTTGTTGTTGTTTTTTGCTGAAGAATGTTAAGAAATGTACAAATATTTATAACGCTCGTGCACAGCCATGGCTCTTCTGTTCATCCTTTTGTTTTGTGGCGTTCTCGTTGCCGTTGCCATCCTGGTTTACTTAAGGTCCCTATAAAGTGTTATAAGCCTCCACTTAATTTCGACTGGCAGCTTCTCCAATCCTTGACTATCATGGATGGCTAAGAAAACGTTTTTTTTTTTTTTTTTGAGGCATTCTGAAGTTATGGTAAAAGGATTATTCACATCCAAATTAAGACGGAATCCACCAGAAGTTTGAGTAACGAGTGGATAAAAACCTAATACCAAGATTATTTACATCGTATTGCAAACTTCTGTATGACTGTTTTAAATATCTTCTCAAAAAAATCATTTCCAGCAACACCAAACGTCGAAAACGAATGTTGAACTTGGTATGAAACACTTGAAAGTACTGGTGAAATGAAACCGATGATGAAATTTTGCTTGTGTTTGCACAAGTTCTCTGAACTTTGAAATTCATTTTCTCTCGTTCCCATGGGAAATTGTTTTCGGTGTTATTTCAGGCAATTATTTATGTATTTGCCTTTAAGAAAATGTACAAATGACTGTAAAATACTTTAAATTATTCTGGTAACAGATTTTTGTCTACTAAAACCTGAAATTGCTCGATTTTTCATCGGATGTCGTCTTAAAGTCTTTCGAGATGAGATCTGGAAGGTTCTCTGCTCAGCATTGCGTCAGCATGATCATTTTAATTTCGTTGCCATCACGTTTAAACTTTGACCCTAGCACTAACATTAAACAAATCAATAGGAAAGCTTTGTTCAGTTCACCGGGATATTGGCCTAATTCGATCGTGCGGTCAGCTAACAGACGTAAGCCGCCTACATACACCAATCTAAATGCTTTAGTTCAGTGATCCTTCATGCGGGCAGAAACAGGAAATTAACAACCATAAATCTTCCTTTGACAGGCTTGTCAGGTTTAAGAAATAAAGAATCAAGTTCTAAACCATGTAATGGGCTTTTTAAAGAAACGAATGACGTTCTTACAAGGGCGGCTCTAAACGACACGCATGGGTGTGCGCAAGCCTGCTGCGTTATTCCTGAAATAAAAGTCTTTATTATGACTACGCTAGTTAGAAGAATTTGACTTTATAACAACGTAAACTATTGAAGCCAACTGCAATGGATGTTTAAGAGTGGTTTTAAACTAATTTTCTACCTGAAACCTATAAAACGCAACATTGGTCGAAATTGCACGCATACCCTTAGACATATCTGCTCTGTATTGTTATATATTTCCGTTTATTAACAGTCTAGAAGACGAAAGACGCTGAAATTTGGACAGTTCATGGCTTGGTAAAGGCTGGTTGAACTGCAGCTGAAAGTCCTAACTGAAATGTGCCTTTTCAGCTTTAGTTCTATTTAGAGATAAAAACGGTGTTTTGCTTGTTTCTATAGCGTTGTAGTTAGACAAACTTATAGATCACTTTCATGAAATAAAGACCCGGAAAATCTGTTGACATTATCAAAATGCCGTCAGCCTCATGTATAGATGCTGAATAGCGCCTGCTATGGTATCCGGCCTGCAAGCTAATTTGACACTGTTATTATCGTGGACAGAAAGACAATATGGCAGCATCCGGTTGAAATGATGGCAAAGTTAATTTTAGAGCAGCGTTTGAATGACTGACCAATGATTAAGTCAGCTTGTCAACGTTATCACTGATTGTGAGGATGAGGAGTTTCATGTGCCAATAATACTCATCTATAATCTATATAATCAATCCCTTTTCACCTAAGCAACGGCTCCAATGATTCAACTGTTTAAAAAGTCGCATAGCGACGGACAATTGATTTAATATATGAATAAACACAGGGAAATGGTTTTTTTGCACCATCATTTTCTTGCTTCAGTCTACTAATCATGGCGGTTGACGTAATGAGAGCGAACCGGAGGCGTGTGATCGACATTATATTTATCTCGTTTGTACTCTCTATCGCTATGGATTATGTATATTAGATTATTTTACAATATGTGGTTTCTAAATTGTTGGAAAATCACGGAACGATCAGCACCCTGAAGGTTAAAGGTTGATAATTTCCAGCGTGTCCTACGTCAAGCAGGCTTTAATCTGAAGAGTGGTACAATTGTTATTACGCCCTTTATGCAGATGTGGATCTCACGCGTAATGCATAATAGTATAAATATAATAAGCAACTCAGAAACTTTCATGATGATTGACCTTACTACCAATTGCAATTGAAAGAACAGTGAACAGAATGGATTTGTCAAGTATTTTACAAGTACATGTACTTAAAACTAGTTACGCTGTTGCTTCATTGAATTTTTAGTTGTGTCAGATACACTCTCAGATACAATCATATATATTTTCTTCAACTAACATTTAATTTTTGCAATTATGTCTTCAATTTTCAATTTCTATTTGTTATCCTTAGATTGTAATGTCTTGCCTGCTGGTTTGTGTACAAGTTGGATCGACCTGCTGTCAAACGATACCTATCCGGTCCGAATACAGACGCGACAAGCACTGCAGTGGAGGAAATCTTATTCGGATTGACACTGACCAATGCAAAGTTTCTTCTGGGGTAAGGCGTCAGTGCAAAGCTAAATGCAACGGCTCATCTACAAAAGACCCAAATGCGAGTAAGTAAAAACTGAGAGAAACGTCTTCTGTGCGCGTGTTATGCTTTGTGATTGAGGAATCTAGAGATGATCCGGAGACAGAAACACATGTACAGAGAAAATAGCGAGGAATTACACCTGTAATAGAGAGAAAAAGAACGAAAGATATATCCAAAAAGCTTGAAAGATGCAGAAGGTGATTTATTGCAATACATCCTTGCACGAAAATTATATGTCGATAACCGAACACTGATAATTAAAAGATGTTCAATTTGAATGTCCAATAATCACACTAAGAAAAATGAGAGAACGCAAAAACCAAACAAAAAAATAACTGTCGATAAAGCGCCTTCGAAAAGAAAAGGTTGACTTCTTTAGTGACTTACTCACAGCTACTGAATGACAATTACCAACGTTGATCTTTTCTGATCGCGGGAGAAATGCACCACAAAACTCAGACACACTTACGAGATCTTCTAATCTCAGTAGGGTCACACCCCTGCCCAATATTTTGTATCGGTATAAATCTACTATTGGGCGTTCTATTGGCTGCACTACTCACTATATACCTTGTTGTAGGTAGTGAGCAGTCTAGCAGTGTGCCGCTGTTAACAAAATGGCGGCCCCTTCTTTGCGCTTTTGAAGTGTCAGAGGAGAAAATCTAGTTGAAGTTTTGAACGAGTAGCAGATTTGTTATGTTGTAGTAATAATTAATTAATTAATTAATAGTATAATATTATTTCAATTATTCCCTCTCGATTTTTATGCGTGATAGTTAACTCGGGCAGCGCCCTCATCAACTATCACGCGCTAGAAATCTCGAGCTCATAATCTACTTGTTGAGTAAAGCAGGGTAACATATTGTCCAGCAACCGTTGAGACATATAGCTACAAATTTAGCTTACGTGTAGCCCAACCGTAGCCTCTGGGACGAAGTGGTACACGAATTATACGGATTACATCGCCTTGCTGACGTAAATTTAATTTTTCACAAATATTTGTATTTTGAAAATTCTAAATGTATTCGCACTGTGTGTGCTTGTATCCAAAAATCTTCAAAAATATCTTAAGCGAGGGAGCTTTAACAGTACACACCGGGTGGAACAAAAGAAATTCTCTATAATAAGATGTCTAGCGGAAAAGGTGTATTATCAGAAGATTATAAAGTGCAACATTCGTCAACAATATAAACAAATAGCCACTTAAATTTAACGATGAGGAAGGAAGTACTTATCATACTGGTCCCTACATTACTTTACTTTCATCGAAAATTTCGAGTATTTGTTCGATACAATAAAAAACGAGTAAGATACATCGGCGCCTAATATGGCAAAACATTACGTCTTGACTTGTTATATTGAAGACTCGACCTACCGAGTCCAATATCAAAATTCTCATTAACCCGACAATATACCTTCAACCGTGACAATACCCCTGGAATGGGTGACGATATCTAATAACCGTACCTTGTTTACAGGATTCTCGTTTGTTAAAATCAGAGGAAGAAAGTGTATACAATTCACTGACGACCGAGATGGTACCAATTATGCACTGAAGGTGATCAATGGGACGAATGTCGCGTTTGAGGTGAGTAATATAAACGACAACTCAACAACAATTCAAAATACAACTTAATGTGCAGTCGACCGACCCTGCGTCGATTTATTGCAAATGCACTTATGTAGAATTTTTAAAGCATTTAAAAACCTTTGTAAAATTATTGTTCATTTATTCATGTTAATGGCTCATAACTGACTAGTCAACTTTCTAGTTATCACATTTCCTAATAAAAGAAGCTTTTGTTTTCAAATTTGTTGAATTAGTATCAATATTTGTTTCATTTGCATTCGATCGCAGGTGCAGCGATGCGACAATACAACGGAAGACAGTTTCCTGTTTAAAGAAGAAAGAGTTAGCAAACTTTATCAATATAAACACACAGATATTAACAGGACTTTGAAACTGGGCGTACCTAAAAACTGCGATGAAAACTTATCCCTTATAAGTACAACCAAAATAGATAGACGATGCTTATTTAGAAAACTGAGAAGAAGAACTTCTAAGAATGGTTAAACAAATTGCCAGGTTTGTTGAAAGAAAAAACTTTTGAAGTGCTGAATAGTTTGTTTAAAACTCAGTTAATATAAGCCAGTCTGTGTTCACCAAATTGTTTCAATCTTGTATCGTACTCTCGTCACAGGCTTCACGCATAGATGAGTTTAGACTCTCATTTTATTGATTAATAAACATAACTGAATAGCCCGGTTACATGTAGTTATCACATTTCCTAATAAAGAAAGCCTTTATTTTCGACTTAATTGAATCTGTATCATTATTTCTTTAATTCGCATTCACAGGTGCAGAGATGCGGCAAAACTGACAGAAGTTAAATAAAATTTAAGACTAAATATCTTCTCTCATTTAAAAAGTAAAGAGTTCTTAACCTTGTAATAAACTTACTGGTTTAAACCAAGGACATGAATACAATCTTAAAGAGATTTGTTTACATTGCAAGCGTGGCTGTATAGAAGTCCTGCTCGCTGTTATAATCTTTGTCTCAGTGTAGTTCGTATATAGAGAAGTAGTTTTTCAAAAGATTGTTCAAGAGTTTTCCGAAGGCCACACGAACTTTCCGCACATTAGCAAAACATTCCTTAAGATTTCCGAAGATTGCCAAAGAGAAGAAGATGAAGTTGTTTCAATCATACACCAACAAATTTAAGTACAGTTAAAGGGTCAAACCTGACATCAAACTTTACGTCATCGATATCATCACAGTAAAATTATTGTCATATTACACGTGTTCAGTTACGACTTCAGTCCCAGGGATGGAAATCCTTGTAAAACACCCCAGTTTATAGAGCGGTTATGTAGTGTCCCAAACCAATCCCGTGTGAGTTTAAGATGATTTCCGCAGAACGTTCGAGCAACAACGGCAAAAATTAAGTTACTAAAAAAACCTCATGGCATGATAATATTTAAAATACGGTTAAGAAGAACTTATCGAGAGAGAAAATTGAACTAGAAGTTATTCATATTTCAATTAAAACAGACGTTTCGCGTTAGTTAAAAACACAATAACACACCCTTTTAGCATTCTTACGAGGTTTGACTTTAACATTCCCGGGAATGCTTGGGAAATTAATCGCGGGGTCACATAGAGAAATGAACTGAAGTGAGTTGTTTTAAATAGTATTTCAAAAGCTACCGAGCTATGAGTACATTTTTAGTAAATAATTTTTGCACTTATTGCTCGAGCTTTGAACGGAATCGTTCTTAACCCTTTTTTAAAGCAAACACTTTGTTTTGTTCCGAATAATTTGAATGGTTATTGGCCACATGAGTGAAAATACTCTATTTCTCGTTGAAAGTGACTCCAACAGTACAGTGGAGTCAACTTTGGAATTAATTTCTCTTTTAATCAAAATTGCCAAGCAAGACTTATCACTGTTATAGCTTGAAAACCATTCATGGCAGAGCAAAGTTTTAACCTTTACAAGTAAAATGAGGTAGAATATAAAATGATCACATGTTTCCGTCAGTATCTTCTGCGGATGATAAATGGCTCATCAGTGTTGTGTCAGAGTAATTACAGGGTCATGATCTGCAGGCCATTTTGATACTTGGTTACCATATCAAAAGAGAAAATGTGCCAATATCCAGTTGTATTGATCGCAAAGTGTATTCTATAGCGAAGCGTATGAATGATTTGGTCAGCTTGTGGGAAAATGATAATAGTAGACAAGCTTCGCCTTCAATGAATTCGAACTAATCATTATCTTCAAACTTGTTCATGATCCGTCTCTTTCGAGATAAATTTGACAATTGAAAAGCTAGTTACATTTTATTTCAAAGCAACCGTTTTTGCGTGGTAGTACCGGATTATTGTTTTAAAAGTCGCTTAGCGACAGACAGTTTATCTACAGTGGAATCCAGATTTCTGGAACCCTCGATTTTTCGAACCCCTGATAGCCTGAACTGTCAGTGATCTTCCGCCATTGCAGGCTAATCCCTGATAACTCGAACTAAAAGTCGTTTCCCTCTGCTGAGTCGAACACTGAATTTTCTAGAAATGCAGCAGCTCTCGTAAGCTTGTAATTCTCTTCATTGTTAGCAACTGGTATTGTTTTAGGGCTAGGGGCATTGTTTCTGTTTTTTGCTCTATTGTTCTCCCAGAGAGTATCAAGCCATTCATGTGAGACCTCACGTGAGCTGCCACATCACCCGAATTTTCACCTGATTCCTGAAACTACCCGACTTTTCAAACCAATGTTCGTTTCCTTTGGAGGTTCAAGACACCTTTACGGATAACACCGTTACTTCATTTGCTTACTTATATTTCAGTTCCTCGTGGATTGTGCATACTATTATGTAACTTCATCTTTCACGCAGACATCTCAATTGTTGGAACATCGTTAAACGCTCAGAGGTTGTCTTATACTGTACTTCTAAGGTAGTCTTACTGATTTCTAGTGTCTTCCATGCCGTCAAACTGGTCTTGTATGTACGTGGGCGCAGATGTGTTTCAAATGCGTCAGCACAAATTAGGTAAAAGTCACGAATGGTATAAATGTGGTATACTACCCGGAACATTTCACAATGATTAACCTTGTTCCTAAATGCCATGAAATCAAAAGAGCAGTGGACAAAATGGATTTATCAAACATTTTCCAGGTATGCTATTACTTCACTGACCTTTTAATTGTAATAAATATTACACTATGATTTCTTCAAATGATATTTTATTTTTGTAATAGTTTCAACTTTCATAATTAGTTTTAATTTTACCCTCAGATTGTAATCGCGTACTTTTTGGCTTACATGGAAGTAGGATTAAACTGGCGTTTGTCGACTCCTATGCTACGGAGCATCCGCTCGCATTTCAGACACCACGAGCACTGCAGTGGAGGCAATCTTATTCGGATTGACACTGATCAGTGTGAAGTTTCTCCTACAGGGAGGCGGCAGTGTAAAGTTAAATGCAATGGCTCGTCTACCAGAGACCCTAGAGCGAGTAAGTGAATGCCGGAACGTGTAAATAAAATTTTTCGGTTGCGGAATTTACAGTTTATGAATAAATGATTTATGACTTTAAAAAAAAAAAATTCGAAAAAAAGACAGAACAATATGGTAAGAATGGGAACACTATAATTATCAAAAAGACCAAAGGAACTCAAAACAGAAAGAAAGTGGTATCCAATACATCTATGCACAAAGGCATGCTTCAACTCTTCGGTCCTTTTCTTAAGATAATTAAGACGAAATCCGATTTAAAATCGAGCAATTTCGCGTTTTAGTGGACAAAAATCTGGTACCAGATTAATTTTAAGTATTTTACAGTCATTTTTACATTTTCTTAAAGCTAAAGATATAAATAATTGCCTGAAATAACAACGAAAACAAATTCCCATGGGAACGAGAGAAAATAAGTTTCAAAGTTCAGAGAACTTGTGCAAACGCAGGTAAAATTTCATCATCAGTTTCATTACACCAGTACTTTCAAGTGTTTGATACAAAGTTCAACATTTGTTTTCGACGTTTGGCGTTGCTAGAAATGATTTTATTTTTTTTTTTTTTTTTGAGAAGATATTAAAACAGTCGTACAGAAGTTTGCAATACGATGTAAATAATGTTGGTACTAGGTTTTTGTCCTGTTGTTACTCGAACTTCTGGTGGATTCCGTCTTAATCCTTTTGAATTTTCCAATAACATGCAGAACTATTGATTTAAACTTTCTGATTTTGTCTTATCGAGTGTCGGTTACCGCGAATAAAATTCACAGTCACTTGAATGACAACGATAAAATATGACATGTTTTGACTACGGAAAGGCTGAGGGTTTCGCCGGCCGAGTACATATGGGTTTTTGACCAAATATGAGGTCAAGATGGCTGGATATTGACCAAGTTCTTTTTCTGCGTGTTTATGGACCAAGACGAGGGCACGAGTCTAACTGTTATTTTACATTATTGTGTGGTCGCGTCCCGCAAGGATTGGGAGCTGCCAAATTCGCCAATATGATTGGCTAAATTAATAATGACCACGGTCTAAATTTTCTTATCAAGAACGGCATCTAGATCGCTCCACCTTCAGTTACTTTTTCAGTGAGAAAGTTGCAAACAAAAATTACAAAATCCTGTCTAACTGCTAAAAAAAAAATACTAAATAGAAGAGCCCCAAAAGAAGAAGAGAGAATGGTGCATAAAACGAGTAAAATTTTTTAATGTAAGTTCAACTCAAGCAATCAAAACACCAATGGAAAACCGAGAAGTGTTTCATTTCCAGCCAACGGTGCTCAATACAAGACTAAGAGCGACTTAAATACCTGCAAGAAATTTTGTTGATCAAAAAAAAAAAAAAAAAAAANAGCACAGCATATCTCAATGGAATGCCTATCGAGAAACTCGCTTCCTCCATTAAGTTATTTTAAAAAAGTTTCTCGCGCCAATGTTTATAAATATAAACGCAATATATAAACCTCGCTAACCGGGAAGTGGCTAAAATTGTTTGTTAAAAAAAAAAAAAAAAAAAAAAAGCTAGAGAAATTGAAAGCATACCCGTCAGTGAGTTCGACCCTCTCCTGACCAAAGTTCATGCCAATTCGCAAATGACTTTCAGCGAATTGTAGTTTTCTCGTTTGGCCATACAATAAGCATCTTATTAACTGATCGATCTGTATGGGAGAAAATTGATCTCAGTCGTGAGTACAGACCTCGGTCAAGTTTCTCCCCTACAGACCTGCTGCTTGGTTACTAAGAACTAAGTATGGGCGGGTAACTTTTGGCCATAAACAGAATATACCTAATGACCGTATCTTGTTTTCAGGATTTTCGTTTGTTAAAATCAGAGGAAGAAAGTGCATACAATTTACTGACGACCGAGACGGTACTAAATATGCTCTGAAGGTCGTCAGTGACATGAACATCGCTTTTAAGGTGAGTTGGATAATTAGAAACGGCAACTCAACAACAATGTTGACACGAACTTAATCGCACTCGACCGACCGTCGCTTTTTGTAGATTTACTCAATTGTAATGTGCAAATAATTTAAAACTCTTGTGAAATTTTTGTTCACTTTTCGCAATAGTCGGTGCTAACTGTCTAGTCAATTTATGATATTGTCTTATAGGGAGTGACTCAATATCGTTATTTGTTTCATTTGCACTCACAGGTGCAGCGATGCGACAATACAGCGGAGGACAGTTTCCTGTTTAAAGAAGAAAGAGTTGGAAAACTTTATCAATATAAACACAGATATATTAACAGGACTTTGAAACTGGGCGTACCTAAAAACTGCGATGAAAACCTATCCCTTATAAGTGCAACTAAGCTAGATAGGCGTTGCTTATTTAGAAAACTGAGAAGAAGGACTTCCAAGAATGGTTAACAAATTGTAAGGTTTGGTCGAACGATATAAGGCATAAGGTTTCTTCT